AGGTTAGTGTGGAGGGCCCTTCTGGGGCCGGGGAAATTCCCTGGGGGGAGATGGGTGAGAGGTTCAATTTCTCTCCAGCCATGGGGATCAATTCTTTAGTACCGTGGTTATCCCAGGCAGTTATTCCTGCCTCTTGCTTTCTGTGTGGACATGCTCAGTTCATGGAGGTGTAAAGCCAGTGGGAGTAGGGCATCATGAGCACCCAGTCTGGTAATTGCGTTCATCATGATGTGTCCGTGTAAGTGTGTGCAGCCCAAAAGAAAGGGTAGGAGTTTGTGGGCTGCAGCCTACTCTATGGTGTGTGTGTTCTCCCAAATCTGATGGAGGCTTGGAAGATCTGTCCACCTCAAGCCAGAGGGTTATGGTCCCATGTAACCTTGTGGAGTCATGTCTTTACACATCTAATAAAGTTTTGTGAGCTTGCTGTCATCCCAACACGTGTTTCAAGGTTGATACATCAATATTACCCTACAAATGCAACCCCCCCCCCCCACCCCCACTGTAGTCCACTTGCTGCTGAAGTACATCTGCAAGAAAGTGGTTGACCTATGGCTGTGTGAAGAGCTATGTTCAATGTTGCTTGTGAATATGTCCGTATCTTATTGTGTAAAATGCACCCTGAACAATAATCAGGAACCAAAACCTCTTGTCTTTCAGCAGATTTCTTAACTCATTTCCCTAATCCATGGAGCAAAGAAGGTAACACAACTGGAGGAAAAAAAAGTCCTCTACCTTCAAAACACCATGTGAATACTTTTAGTAACACTGGAAGTTGTCTCTGCATTGTTCCCATCTGATCACACTAGCAGGGTGCTTTCAGGTGTTGTTCTGAGGCCTAAAAGCATTTCCAGTATGTGCTCACTTTGTTGGATTTAAGATATGTCTTTAACACCGTTATGAATACTTGACGGATGATGGCCATTAGTTAACAGCTGGGAGTTACAGAGTAAGTGTGCAGCAGAACAAAGGAAGAAGCACTAGCTAAGAAATAGGTTTTTAATTCTCCTTAAATTGTTTGGTACTTAGTTTGGGAGGTATAGAGTTGAGCTTTAGACTGGATGTCTGTAACCATACTGCCTTCTAGGATTTTTTTTTTCCTCTCTTCTGAAAGCAAAGGCTGAAAGGGGTGGGGTCTTGCTTTAGTGGCATGGGGGTGCACACCAGGCGCTGGTAGAGTTGAAACATTTAGGCCTTCTGTTGCTGAAGTTGTTGCTACTTGTGCTCTCCTCCTGCACCTTTTGGAAGTTTTGATGACAGGCAGGTTTTCGTTCACAGCAAGTGAGCAGAGCACAGCCTCTTCATGAAGAGATCTGTTGTTAGGAAGTTCCTGACTTCACATTGGCTCTTAATTGAGAATGAATCAGGTACAGTTTCTGTGTCGAGGTCGAATGGAGCAAGGGTATGTCTAGTTGTGCAGGTGGGCTGTATGAGTTTCTTTAGAGCTAGCCAGCTGTTCCTGTTGTTAGATGCTGTTTTGGAGTAATTACAGTTGATATACCGTCAGTTTTTTGTAACACATTACGTATGGCTATTAGATAATTACATTTCTCAGCAGGGAGATGTTTACCAGGAAAGAAGTTATTGATTTATCCTAACTTCTCTTTACTTTGTTCTGAATTATGCCACTGTATTTGATATTTTCAGTCCCATACATAATGCTGAATTGGATGATGAAGGATTGGACTACTTATACGACAGAAGTGAAGTGCTGAGGCCTAGGATTTTTTGAGTTGAATGCTACTTCAATCTGTCAGTGGTTGCTGGTCAATGTGATTTTTTTTTTTTCTTTTATTTGAACAAAATGTTGTCGTAGAAGTCGTCATGAAAATGCGATGCTACAGAGAAGAATAAAAAGTGTCAAGATGGAATCCCATCAAATCCTTGGTGGGATTAGTGGTTTGTACCTTTATTTGGGGAAAAAAAAATTGTATAGATTTCCTCTTGATATTTTTCTCCTGTTTTCACAGGAGAAATATTAGTATCAAAGAATGACAACTGCTTCACCAAGTGGATGTGTTGTGCAAGAGGTCATTATTTACAGCTACCAACTTTATTGAACTCTTCCTTACATTTCATCCTTATTTGTAAGTTTATCATTTATTGCAAAGTGGTAGAAAGATACGCAGCTATGGACATAGACTCTTCTAGGCATTTTAGCAGAGCCAGGATCGAGGAGCTCCTTTTAGCTCAGTTCTACCTCTGACTGGCTTTGTGATCTTGAAAAAGTCAATAAATGTTGCTCAGTTCCGGAACATGAGCTGGACAAGCTGATGGAAAAGAGAATCTGTGTTGCTAAATGATAGCCCAAGGAAAACATTTAAAAAAAGAAAAAAAAACCAGAAAAAAACCCTGTTGAAGTCAGGAGGCTGTCTGGGGGGATCTCTGGAGGCCTCTGGGGAAGCATTCTGCTGGAGGGTGTGTGAAGCTTGGGGGCAGGAGAAGGAAGGCAAGGTGGGCTCTGTGCCGTCTCCCTAGGTATGCGGAGCTATGTTGGTAAACGGTATGGCTTGTGGGTCACAACATACTGTAAGGATGTATTCCTGGTATTGTTAAAGTGGTGATAACAAATATTAAGGATGCTGGAAAATACAGGCTTATGGGAAACTTCGCTTTCTAAATAGAGAAAGTTTGTTTCTTTTTTGTTTTTAATGTTGTGGCTTTAACAGACCTTTCATCTCTTGCAGTCTTTTAGAAGTGGAAAAACAACTTAGGTTTGATGTTTTGTGTGCCATCAACTGAAATTGGGGCCATCATGAATATAACCAAGGGTGGACTGGTGCTGTTTTCAGCTAATTCCAATTCGTCATGCATGGAACTATCAAAGAGGATTGCTGAGTAAGTAAAATCCTGCAGGGCAGCTTAGGATCTTGGTGTTACTATGATGGGACTTATTTTACTGAAGACTGATTTCTCTGTTTCAGGGAAGTTGCATATGGAAAACTGCCATGGTTTGCCAGAACATCTAGTGTACTGTATTGCACAGCGTATTTCAACAGATCAATAACAAAGAAAATAAGCTGTGCTTAAATTGTTTGGTGGCAGGTCGTGATTGGCTGCAGTATGTTGTAGAGAACACATGGGAAAGTTAATGTTTGGATAGTGTTAAATAATCATGGCAGAAGTTTTTATCATTGTCTCATTCTCTTTGTAGCAGAGTTTTCTTAGACGGTAAAGGTGCATCCATCCTGCTCGTTGTATATTTTAGATGGGGACATTTGTTTAGCTTTAAATGCGTGAATAGCTTCAGCAGAACTTTTACAACTTAAGGAAAATTTTACCATGCTAGTATAGCAGTATTAGGATGCATAGCATTGCCAGGAGTATCGCAAATGATGAGTTTCTTCCTGAGGTTTACGTACCCAAAGTTAGGTAGAGATAGGAAGAGAAAGGAGAGCGCAAAGGAACTGAACTTACGCATTGCAAAGACTTGGGCATAACTGCATAGCATACTCAGTTGTCTCCTTTTTTTTTTTTTTTAAGCGGTGGGGGTTTGTGCTAATACTGAAGTGGCATAGACATGGCAGACGTTAGCCTTCCGTTATTCATTGAACAGAGAGCTTGCTAGTGTTTCCGATTCACTCTAGACTGACAATTTTCTATAGAGAAGAATGATTTAAAAGTGGGTTTTTAAACATTGTGCATGTTTATGTTGCTGTGTGTATGTACATATATATGGCAGTATATATAGAATGTATATAGAAATATGTATTAAAAATTAGAAATTGTTAAATAATGTAGTAATCAAGCATTCCCCCCCCCC